TGAGGGCGTGACAGTGAAGTTGATTCGCGGTGTTGAAGCCCCAGGAACGGTGTTCTGGCACGATTTCCGATCGTGAAGACGCAACAGTCATGTTGATTCGTGGCGTTGAAGTCCCGAGAATGGTGTTTGGCACGCTCCAGGGTCTTCAAATGGTTGTCTCCCAACGAGGCAGTTCCCTCAGTGGAAATAAACCCTCGTAGGGGCCTATGAAGAGGGGGCTTGAGGGGAGCGTTTACTCCAACATCGTTGAGGAGTCTTGGGTTTGCACTGGTCACCCTCCTCCTCCTCCTCCTCCTCCTCCTCCTCCTCCTCCTCCTCCTCCTCCTCATACTCCTCCTCCTCATACTCCTCTTTCTCCTCCTCCCTCCTCCTCATCCAACGCAATCCGCCTCCTCCTCCTCCTCCTCTTCCTCCTCCTCCCCCTCCTCCTTCTCCTCCTCCTCCCCCTCTCCCTCCTGTTCCAGAGTCTCCTGGGACTTCTCCTCGACCTCCTGCTCCTCCTGCTAGCTCCTTTGTTTCCATCCACCCGCGGGCCCACGGGCGGATATCGAGCTGCCGACATGGCCTGACTCTAGGAGTCCATCCGCCCACTGGACCTCTCCCATGGTGCGTTCTGGCCAAAACTTGAAAGTCTGGTCGGTTTCCCCGATGCCAGCGACTCGGACGACGACGATCCCGCTCGCGAAGCGAGGCTGTGGGTCGAATAGCGTCTCCATCGTTGGCCAACGCGTTTTTCAAACCTCATGTTAGTACGCGTGCGGCTGGTCTTTGTCAGGTCAAAAAACTTCCAGGCGAATCCAGCGGTGGCGACAGCGGCCTCCCAGGACCAAACATGGAAAACGAAGGAAGGGTAGCAATATCGGTACCCTTTTCCTCCTCTGCCACGAGCGCCCCAGGAGGTCGAAAACGGTCCGAATACCTCCGTCGTGATGTTAGTAAATACTCGAGGAAGAAAAAACGGCACAACACACATTCGTTTGACGCTCCGCTTGGATTTTCTGGGTCTGCGCCGAAACTCCCTCCCTTGCGCGCGGAGCGCGCCAGGGCCAGCGCCAGAGAGGCTGCCAGGTGCCAGCGCCGATCCGAGAAATCCGCGAGGAGCTCGTGAACGTTTTCTTAGTCGGTGTTTCGGCAGTGGGCGTAAGGGGGGGGAAGGGGGGGTCTGGCTCCGCACCTCTGCTTAATGCCACTGTTTGCAGCAGTGCGCCCCCATGGGGGAGAGACTCCGCCTGCTTGAAACGGGCGCCAAAAACAGCCTGGATCTGTTCCATGGGCGGGGGGAGTCGGAGGGGGGAGGTGCGAGGGCCCGCGCCGAGCGGCAAAACAAGGAATAAGAAAACGATCACCTCCAAAAGTTGACTTTCACGGCTGGTTCGCGTCATGTCGACCCCGACAGCCGCTCCCGACACCGAGGGGATCGTTCGACCTCGCAGGATGAGCCGTTTCCGGAACGCCAGATCGTTCCGTGCCACATCGACCGACTCTGGATCGCCAGGCGGCGGGGCCGCCGCCAGTCGACGCGACGCGAACCTGCCGTAACCCAGACCAGGACGAGGAAACAAACGACACCAGCCCACCTACGGCCCAGTGGGGCTTAGCGTATGCCGTGAGATCTGGTGCGGGTGTTTGCGTGATAGACGCTGCAGCGGCCGATGGGCCGTAGCGCAGCATGGAGGGCCGTACAGGGCGGGCGCGGCCGCAAGAAGCCCAGCCCTGGAACCCGCAGGCGCGAGATGCGAGTGGCGGGGGGCCCAGAGCACCCTGAACGCAGCAGCTCCTTCAACGGCCACGGGAGGCCACCGCGCAGCTCGCGGAGCGAAGAAACCTGGGGTACCCTGACGAAGAGCAGTCAGTTTCTTGATGCGCGTCCACACCCTACAGTGGGGTGGCGTTTGGGGGAACCAAGAGGTACCGATACCGCTACTCCCCGGACCTCTCCTGGGGTGCGTTCTGACCAGGATTTCGAGCAGAATCCAGCGGTGTCGACGAGGGCCTCCCAGGAGGCCCAAAAAGGGGAAAACGAGGAGGGGTAGCGACATGGCCACCCTTTTCCTCCTCTGACGAGCCGCCAGGAGGCTCCAGCGCCGGCCCGAGCAATCCGCACGGAGCTCCGAGTTGTTATGCTTACGGCCGAGAGAACGTTCAAGAAAATCATCACTTGAGAAACCTGGGCCAAATAAATAAATAAACAAATACATATGTAAGGGACATTGCAAGTATGATGTGTCATTTGTTGTTCCCCTTTTTTGTGTGTTTTTTTGCTTCCCGGAAATTTATTCAGACAAGCCTGGGCCAACTTCTGCCGTTCATGAACCCTGGAGGGGCGACTGAGCTCAGGAAGCTGAGCCAGGTGGCCAGCAAGCTGGTTGGGAGACGCCGGCCCAGCTTTTGGGTAGGAGGCTTCTCAATCAGATGCTCGACTGTAGGTCCCTGTGCGTTCCCCGAAACTAGATACCTCCTAGCTGGGGTCCGAGCAGATGTGGCCGGAGAATCGCGCCGCATCGCCAATACATCGGCGATGCATCGGCGATGCATCGGCGATGCACCGGCGACTTCGGCGGTGCATCGGCGGCGTCGGCATGGGGAAAATTGGGCCCCAGACCGAGCCGCATCGCCGATGCATCGGCGATACGGCGTGATCCTCGGACCGCATCTACTCCGACCCATCTGGGAGGTCTAGAGAAACTCGACTCGGAGGTTTGGTTCGGACCCAGACATCCAGCTGCTCCAATTTCCCAATCATCCTGTGGTGTTGGGTCCTCGTTTTGAAGAGACGGTCCCCGCGTTCTTTCCTTCCTCCTCCCCCCCCTCCTCCCTCCTCCCGTCACCCCCCTCACTTTGGCACACCTCACACGTTCCGTGGCCCCATAGGAGTTCCACCGAAGGCTCCAGTGGCAGTGTTCACATGCGTCCCCGCCACTCATTTCGGCACACCCCTCACACGGTTCGTGGCCCCATAGGGAGCTCCACGGAAGGCCTCAGTGGCGGTGTTCGCATGCGCCCCCGCCACCCATTTCGGCACACCCCTCATACGCTTCGTGGAGCTCCTCCGAAGGCTCCAGTAGCGGTGTTCGCATGCGTCCACGCCGCCCATTTCGGCACACCCCGCACACATTCCGTGGCCCCATAGGGGGCTCCACCGAAGACTCCAGTGGCGGTGTTCGCACGCGTCCCCGCCACCCATTTCGGCACACCCCTCACACGTTCCGTGGCCCTATAGGGGGCTCCACCGAAGACTCCACTGGCGGTGTTCGCATGCGCCCCCGCCACCCATTCCGGCACACCCCGCACACGTTTCGTTGCCCCACAGGGTGCTCCACCGAAGGCCCCAATGGCGGTGTTCGCATGCGCCCCCGCCACTCATTTCGGAACACCGCTCACACGTTTCGTTGCCCCACAGGGAGCTCCACCGAAGGTCCCAGTGGCGGTGTTCGCACGCGTCCCCGCCACTCATTTCGGCACACCCCTCACACGCTTCGTGGCCCCATAGGGGGCTCAAATGGCGGTGTTCGCATGCGTCCCCGCCACCCATGTCGCCACACCCCTCACACCCAGTGGCGGTGTTCGCATGCGTCCCCGCCACCCCCTTTTCGGTATACCCTCTCACAGGTTCCGTGGCCCCACAGGGAGCTCCACCGAAGGCCCCAGTGGCGGTGTTCGCATGCGTCCCCGCCACCCATTTCGGCACACCCCTCACACCCAGTGGCGGTGTTCGCATGCGTCCCCGCCACCCCCTTTTCGGTATACCCTCTCACAGGTTCCGTGGCCCCACAGGGAGCTCCACCGAAGGCCCCAGTGGCGGTGTTCGCATGCGTCCCCGCCACCCATTTCGGCACACCCCTCACACCCAGTGGCGGTGTTCGCATGCGTCCCCGCCACCCCCCTCTTCGGTATACGCTCTCACAGGCTCCGTGGTCCCATAGGGAGCTCCACGGGAGGCCTCAGTGGCGGTGTTCGCTTGCGTCCCCGCCACCCATTCCGGCACACCCCGCACACACGTCGTGGCCCCACAGGGAGCTCCACCGAAGGCCCCAATGGCGGTGTTCGCATGCGTCCCCGCCACGGACGTCGACAGTCCCCATCACACACTTCGTGGCCCCATAGGGAGCTCCACCGAAGGCCCCAATGGCGGTGTTCGCATCAGACCCATCGCACACTTCGTGGCCCCATAGGCAGCCCAACCGGAAGCCCCAGTGGCGGTGCTCGCATGCGTCCCCGCCGTCACACGCCTCGTGACCCCATAGGGAGCTCCACCGAAGACGATACCCACAATTGCGTTACTCACAACTGCATACGGTCGGGTCCTTCGCCAGGCTAATTTTGGTGCGTGGCCCCCGGAGGTCCCGACCACTTCCCCGGGACCGGTTTTTTGCCCTGCGCCGTTTTCTGACGCTCCCGAGGCCCGGCGACGACCCCCGGAGGCCGAAAACTGCCCGAAACCGGGTGCTCCTTTTTTTCGGAGGGGAGCGTCGGATCTCGGGGGGGTCGGCCGTCGTCGGGAGCGGCCAAGAGGGGGGTGTCCAAGAGGGGGGGTGCAAATCATGACCAGCGGCACGTGCGCGGCCCAGCGGGGGGGCCAGGGACGTGATGAAACAAGAAGAGGCGCCACGAGATCTGGGGAAAGATCATGGCCCCCGCCATGATATCCACACCCCCCCAGTCATGAACCCGCTCCCCGATGTCGCTCCGCGAGTGCGCGCCGCCCGCGCGACCGGTTCCGCCCGGGTCTGCGGAGCTCGTCGAGGAGCTCGGCAGCCGTCGCCTCCCACTGCTGGGCGGCCGCGGGCGGCGGGCGGCCCCGCCGGGAGCCCCCCCGGGGGGGGCGCCCCTCGCGGGCTGCCGGAGGGTCGCCCCCATTGGGTTCAAGGTCAAAAGGGAGGGGGGGGAGGAGGAGGAGGAGGGGAGGGAGGAGGAGGAGGAGGAGGAGGAGGGAGGAGGAGGAGGAGGAGGAGGAGGAGGAGGAGGAGGAGGAGGAGGAGGACGCGCACGACCACGAGGGGTGTGACCCAAGTCACAGGAACATGCACAGAGGGACAGGCGGGCTAGGCGGGGAAAGCAGGGTCCTCCTCCTCTAGGCCCTCGCCCCGCCGCCGCCTGTCCTCGAGACCGCGCCGAACATCTCGAGCTCGGCGCGCGTGAGGCCGACCAGCTCCAAACCTCTCAGAAGGTCGGCTGCTGGCCCCTCACGACGCGAAGGATGGGCACCCCGAGACTGTTTCGGGGGCCCCTGGAGGCCTCTGCTCCAGGCTGCAAAAAAGGGGGTCCACTCCAGCCGAACCGCCTCGGTCGGGGCCCCAATGTACGTCAGCGTGAAACTCTTTGGGTTCCGATGGCCAGGATACACTCCAGCACGAAATTTATCAAGATAAAACGAGCGACCCGAAGACGACGAAGGTCGACAAACCGACCGAACGGTACCTCTCTTCGTGCTGGTGTGGGAAACTGCACCACACGAGGTGCAGCACAAAAGTGAATCATGGAAAGTGTTCCTATCCGCCTCATAAACATCACCCTGCTCTAGAGCGTGCCCGCTCTGGATCCACGCTCCAGGGGACGGGGGAGGGGGGAACTCAGGAGGCTGCCCGCTGGCGGGGTTCCCCTGGGTTTCCTGAGGCCCGCCTCCCCGCCCAGAAGCCCCTGGACCACCAGGCGCCTCCGAGGGGGCCCCTGACGTCCCAGGAAGAGGCAATCCAGGGATAGCATCGAGCAGGACGTAGCTTAGCCATTCCAGATTCACGTGATCACTAGCGCACAGCTCTCTGCACTCAGCCTGCTGGCTAGCGCAGTAAACACCCACACGCCGCACAAACTCAACATAACCCGTGAGCAGCTGTCTGTCAGCCGCAGGAATTCGGAATGGCTCAGCCCTTTCCTTGGCGAGCCTGTCGCTTCCGAGTTCCCAAAACGCTGCATCTCAGTGATACGACCCTCACGCACATCCATTGTCGAGGTGTGGGAGGGGATCTCATGAATACAAATACCTCCCAGACGGCCCCCAATCTCAGCCCACCAGTGGGCCCGCGCCGAATTCACGCTCGAGGCCCCTGTGAGGTTTCGGAGGCACCCGACTGCGGCAGCGCAGTCCACATAGAGCGAGACATTGGGGGAAAGGACCGATCTGCGAGAAAGCATTAGCACAGCAAAATCTTCACCGTCACGCGCTTGTTGTTCTGGCGCTTCCCCGAACGGCACACACCGAACAGGGCCGCCAAGGTTCTGCCTCGGCTGTCGAGCACCGCAACTGCACAACCCGCGGCCCCTAGGCCTGTTATCTTCCCCATCAAATCCCGACCCGTCAATGAAAACGCGCGCCCCCTCGGGCATGAACAGGGGGCCGTCCTGAGGCCACTGGAAGCGACGCGTGCACGGATTCAGCGGGTCGCGAAGGGGTCGCTTCACCCAGGCCGCGGGGTTGGGAAACAAACATCTACTGAATTGCTCTCCAGCTGGAGTCGGTAGATGGCCAACATTCCGAGCAGCCCTGGCAACCAAAGGATCCAGGTTCTCGCAGCGCCACTGTTCGAATGCAATGCAACTGAAACGACGATGGCGCAGAGTTCCGCGGCCATCTCTGCACAGCTGACATTCGCAGGTGGCCTCTGGACTGTGTTCAAACACTCTGTGCTGGCACCAATACACATTCGCCACTAGCGCCGAGTGCGCTGCCCTGTGCGATTTCGCCCACACCTCGGACCCCTTTTCGCCCCAGAAGCCGGTGAATGGGCGGCCAAAAAACGAATCCGCTCCACAGACCAAAATCAAACTGCTTTAGCTGTTCTTCTCTCTCGATGGCCCTAACCACTGAGCCGCGCAAGAGGTGAGAGAAAAACTTGGGCGAGAAGCGCTCAATCGACCACTCTCTCTGGAGGTCGTCAACAAGCGCCATCTTCGGAACCTCGAAGGACCATCGGACCCGAGACAACTGCAGGAAAAGCGAGGCGACAGGCTGACGAACCTGGTTCCATGGGGCCTGGCCCTTCTGAACAGCCAAAGCGCCCTGGACACAAGACCCTAAAACATTTTTCGAGATGGACTTGGCCATCCAAACTCCAACGAATTCCTTTACAGCCGACACCACCGTCACCAGAGGCGGGCCCCTGAGCCAGAGTCGGGAGGAGGAGAGGAACCTGAACCCCAGGGAGGTCCCAGGAAGGAGAGGCCCCCAGGATCTCGCGGCTTGGACCCGAAGCTTGTGGAGGGTGGTCGGCGGGATTCCCAACATCTGGGCTCCCCACGTTGCTTTGGCCAACGGTCCTACTCGATAGACACGACAATGTTTCTCACTCTGCCCGAGCTTGCGTAGGGCTACCCCCGTGCTGCGGGCGGCCACAAGCCTAGACGCCTGCGCGCCGACTCTCCGAGCCCTGCCGTCGAGCGAGTCGCCGCCGAGGTCGCGGCGGGAGGTGGCCAGCTTGTCGCCTGCGAGCTTCCACCTTGGATCCTGTACCAACTCAGGCAGCTGGCTGCGGTCAGACATCATGAACTTGGTCTTCTCCCAATTGATAGGCAGCTTCCTCGACCCCAACTCTGATGTGACAATCTCGAAGCTGGCAATAGTATTCGCAATAACTGTCTTGGGGCCACCGATTGTCCGCGTCGTCAAATCATCCACCACGTTCAGCGCACGGCACGGAGGAGTCTCTTACGCCAATCTCTTGAGAAGGCACAGCGCCATCAGCTTCGACACTCCTGTGGCTGCGCTACACCCTGCAACGATCGTACCATTTGGATGGCTGGCTCTGCGAGTACCTCCTGTCCATCTGGCTCTTCTCGGCACACGGTACAGGCAGCACAACGCCCTGAGCAAGGCTCCGTCGAAGCTGTAGTGCTCTGCTGCTTCTCGCAGTTGCTGATGGCTGACGTTCTCGTAGAACTTGCGGATGTCGTAATATACCGTGATTGCTGACAATCCTCTCCGTCTGGCGTGGCATGTCAACATGTTATGCAGGTATGCCGCCTTGTCACAGCTGGTGGCCGCACTCTTTCCCCAGAAAAGCTGGGCATCGACAGACTCTCCCCACTTCTTGACACGCTGCCTCCTGCATCTGCTCCAAATCCGTGCCCAGAAGCAAAGTAGACCTATGGGCCTGGTCCCCCCATCTGGCTTTGGAAGGAAAACATTGATCGTAACCCACATACGTTCGCATTGTGGTTCGCGTTCCCAACACGTGAGAATATCCTGCAGTCTCCTCACAAATGCACCATCCAGGAATCGCACGAGCCTCATGTGGAAATTGCCCCAGCCAAGCCCTGTGGAAGGTCCGAAGGAGCGGCGCACTTGCATGATCTGGTCCACCGAAATGGGGTCGAGCTTCCAGGGATATTTCCAGTTCGATGGCACCTCCTCTGGGCCCTGTCATCCGAGATCCACAAATCTTCCCATTCCTCAAGTACTGCCGTGATTGCCGCCGCCCCCACCAACCCACGAGGCTGACCCTTCGACAAGGTAGGCGCTTCCTTTAGACGCTTGGGACGAGCAATCGCATGCGCCAGCTTCCCAGAGCCATCTGCTGCAAACTCGCCAAACTCACGCCAAGCTTTGCTCCTGGCATGGGAATCCTTGCGCCTGCGTTCTTCTACTTCGTCCACGAGAACAGTTCGAAACCAGGCTGCCAGCTGACCTCCTCGCTTTGCTAGGGCAACCCACTTCTGGACATCCTTCGCCTTCAGGGAGGGTGAGTCTGAGATGGCCTCAGGGAGCTCCAGGGCTAGCAGCTGCCTCTCACACCTCTCGGAGTGCCCAGGTCGCCTTGCTTTTGACCCCGTTGGAGCTGAGGACGCCGCGCTGAGGGCATCCCAGAGCCTGAGCGCACTCAGCCACGACCTGGTGTCCGACTCGTCGTGGCGCTCGAGGATGGACTTGGCACAATCCACCAGGCGCTTCTGCTTCAGCACCGCCCCCTTCTCCCTGCCGGTGTACATTCTCTTATCCGAGGGCGGTATCTCGAACAACTGCACTAGGTACTTCTCGGCGGCCTTGAACCGCAGCGCTGCGGCGTCCTCCACTGAGTCGAAGGGGGCGTCCAGCTGCCACTCCTCAAGCACCTTCACCGAGGGAGGTGCTCCCCCATGGGTGCGATCCACTGCTTGGGCACCATCGTTCTTCACCTCTTGCATCACCAATGGGAAGGCTCTCGGCGGCGCCTCCACCCAGACGAAGGGCTCGTCTCTCAGGCCGTCAAGCTTGATCTCCACATAGCAGTGAGGCGAGATGGGCGCGTCAACTCTAGCTTCCACCGTCATCGGGAAGGCGTCGAGGGCCTGGGGGCCGATGAAGTAGTCGTACTCCTTCCCATTGCACGTTGGAATTCCAGGAGCGAAGATGGTGGCCGGTGTCAAATCTAGCCAACCCAGCTCCATGATTTCCTCTGGCTCTAGGTTCCAGTCTCCTCCCAAGAGGAAGGGGAAGTGCTGCGCCCCCAGGAAAGCGCTGAGGGACTCCAGCAGCTCGAGGTTCCCACCCTTGGTCCAATGGGGTCGGCCCCGTAGGCCGAACCGATGATGATCCAAGAATGGGCTCCCAGGGTCATGAGCCTCATCACCGCGCAATGCTGCCACTTCACAGGTATATGCAGCTTGGCCACTCCAATGCCCAGCGCTGCGGAGAGGCCCACCCCCGCGGAGAGGGACCCGGTCGACTCCCCTGTGCGCCAGGCCGTGCCAAAAGCCAACTTCCGAGAACAGCTGCGAGTCCATTGATGCGCGCCAGCCTCTGCCGTGGGATCCAGCGCCGTCTCCTAAATACACGGCGCGTGGGGCATCTGCCACTGC